TCAGTAAGTACAGAAACAAATGTAAAAGGTTACCTTGAACATTTGCAAGGAGAGACAGAGAGAGAGAGACAGAGAGAGAGAGAGATGCTGTCCTACCAGATCCTTGTTGCTGTGGGTTGAATGTAGCTCCAATATTCATATGTTATCAAATGGAATGGTATCAGGAGGATTTATTTCAGCATGAATGGGATTAGGGCCCCTATGAAGGAGGTTTCATGCAGTGTTAAGCTCTCTTGCCTTTCCTATTTTTAACTCTGTGAAGACATGACATTCTTCCCTGCTGGAGAATGCAGGAATAAGCTACCAACCTTGAGGCAGCAGCTAACTCTGACTGGACTCACAGCACTAGTTTGCCAATGTGTGGTATTCTACAGTGTTGTATGAATATGCAATGATTCATTTATTCATTCAGTTACTGGTGGACACTTAAGTTCATTGCATTTACCGGTTATTATAAACAGTAATATCTTATGTAACATATGTAGTGCATATTTAGAGAGTATGCCTGCAGGTGGAGTTATAGGAAATGCATATGTTAATATAAATTTTAACCAACTCTCCAAAAGTTACCAAAGTTGTATTAATTCACGTTCCTTCACATAGTTATACAAACTTCAGTTGCTCCACAGTAAAGAAAAACACGCTATTGTCTATTGTAAAATTAAGTGAATTCCATCGGTAAGGCTGTATCTATTTGTAGGACTGTATCTATTTTTAAGGTGGTATCTCAGTGTGGGGAGTTTTTCCAAGAATGAATAAAATTTATAAACTTTTCATAGATGTATTGGCTATTTGGATATATGCTTTAGTAGTATATTTATTTTATTTTTTTGACTATTTTACTACAAGTTTTTTTTTTTTTTTTTCTTGCACACTTTTAAGATATTCCTTTCTGTATTTTTGGTCCATGTCCTTTGTGGTGAATGTATGTTGCGAATATCTTTATTATCATTACTTACTCTTCGCTTTCTTCCCATCTTCTGATCAACAGAACCTCATAATTCTGAATGTAGTGAAATTTATTAATTTATTTATACATTTATCCTTTTAAAAATAAAATGTAAATAATGTATTATTATTTTTACTTAGGAAAATTTCTAGTGCTATTTATTTTTTATCTTCGCTAGATATTCAGTAAATTGCACAGTGATAAGTGTAATTTAGTGTAGTTTCAGTGGTTGCACTTGTCTTGATTTTCAGTAGATTTATAGACCTGTGCAATCATCAGCATAATCAAGATTGAAAACAATTCTATTGTGTCAAAAACCGAGTCTTCACTTCCACTCTAAGGAACCATATTTGCTTTCTGTCTTACCACATTTGCCTTTCCTAGGGATATTACATAGATATAAAGAAAGGCATTTAGAAAATTGAATGATCATATTTTCATTTAAAGTAAATGAAATGACCATATTTACTATTGATGAAGGGAAATATATTTTTTTAAATCTGTCTGAAACATTATTTGGTTTTGTTATTTTAAAAATTTTTTATTAAATCATAAATACATAGATCATGTATACATTCATGCATTTATGGGGTACAATGTGCTGATTTCAGTGATTAGGGCACTGGCCCCATATACTGAGGGTGGAGGGTTTAAACTCGACCCCGGCCAAACTGGGACATTATTTGGTTTTTGAAGCTACTCTGATTTTATCCTCAAGGTATGTTCTACCTGGTTTTCTCTTCTATTGCCACAAAGTTCTTTATTCTCTTTGTTTCCATGAATTATATTAATCTTCTCTGAGCTTTGCATACTCTGAAGACATGTTAGCACTCTTTTCCTAGATGGTTAAATGCACAAACTCTCCCATTTGTAACTTGGATAAATTGTTTAAACTCTCTGTGCTGCAAATTTTTCATCTCTAAAATGGGCATTAGGATAATACCTACTGTACAGCATTGTCAGGATTGAATGAGCTATTACAGGAAAGTTGCATAAAGCAGTATCTGGTAAATAAATGTGCTCTAACAAATATTAGCTCGTTCCCTTATGATCATCTTGAGTTATATTTTGAAGATGGGATCCACTCAATTGACTTGCTCAATTAAACAAAACTGCCTTATAAAACATACTAATTCATTCCTGAAAGACTCCTATGACATAGTTTATCATCTAAACAAGGATTATGCACTTAATAACTACACTTGACAACAAGTGAAAATAGGAGATATGTTCACCCTATTTTTAGGTGAACCTGGTGTAAACCCATCACTCCATAGATATTGACTTTTAATTAATGTATTTACAAATATTTACTCCGTTTTAGTTTCTGTTCTCAGGTTTGTATTATGACGTTCACTTCCCAACTTTCAAAACATTCTTCTAAATCCTCAAAATGTTAGTTCTTCTTTTTTTAAGATATTAAGGGGGTACAAATATTTTTATTACATGGATCCCTTTTAAAATGCTTAAGTTAGGGTTTTTAGTGTGCCATCAATTGAATAGTATTTCCTGTACCTGAAAGGTACGTTTTTCCCCCTCCAATCCCCACTTCTCTCCCTTCTTTTTTTCCTATGAGCTTTACATCTCTTTGTGCCTGTGGGTGCCCACTGATTAGCTCCCAATTATTACAAAATACACGTGGTGGTTTTTTCTCCATTCCTTGGACACTTCATTTAGGATAATGGTCTCCAATTCCATCCAAGTTGCTGAAAAAGACATTATTTTGTTCCTATTTATGATGGAATAGTACTCCATGGTGTGAATATGCCTCATCTCCTTAGTTCACTTATTAAGTAAAGTGGTTTGAGGTGGATTCCACATCTTTGTGACAGCAAATAATGCTGCAGAGAACGTTCAAGGGTATAATGGTATTAAAAACTCTAAATTTGATAATATATCTCCAATCTTAAAATTATTCAGTAATTTGTCTTTGTTCAAACACTTGACCATGACCCCAGGCCTGGTATACAGTAGAGTTCATCATCAGTATTATCACAAGCCACTTTCTCTCATCACCTTCATCATCATCACTTCCAATGTACCAAGACTTATAATGAACATTTTATGTGCAAGTCTCCTTCAAATCCTCATCAAATCTCACGTGGTATTTTTATAATGCTCACGTATGGCATGGAGAATACAAGGCTTAGATAGGTTTGAAATTTGCCTAATCTGACACAACTTGTGAAATGTGTTGTTAGATTTCAAAGCCTAATTTTAGCTTCACAGCTCAGCTCTTATAAGTTTTGTTGATTCACCCATAAATTTATTTATTAAAAGAAAAACACACAAATAAGTGAAGAAATGCTCCTCCCTCTCTCCCTTCTGCTTCATTTTCACCTAATTTACTGTCACCCCTGACTCCTTCACTGCACACAGCGCCTTCTTTCTGATCTTTCTTTTCTTTTCACCACAGTGATCTGGAGAATGTGTGTGGGTTCTATGCAAAGACTGTTTTATACAGGTACAATGGACTTGAATATCCATGGATTATGTGTGTCTGGGAGGGTCCTGATACCGATCTTGAGGGGCCACTGTTCCAGAGAATACTGGGAGGTGGGGAGGCAGGTCAGTGTAACTATTTTGCTAATCATGCGTATTTAAGTTAGGCTCCTGCCCTCACAGACACTAAGACAAGGGTGCTATCTTCCTTGATGTTTACATTCTAAAGTGATGGTTCTCCTGCTGCAGAGAAAGGCATTTCTGGGTTGTAATATAGGCAAGGGGCAGAGAGAAGCTTTACATGTCAAAGGGGTCCAGAAAGAATTCAATGACAAGTGTTCTAATGTAAATGCTCTGAGAGAAAGGAGGTTAGGAAATTAGAATCAGAAACAGTGTAAAGTTTGATCAAGTAAAAAGAAATGGCCAAGGTGCTGACGACTTAGTTAGAAAATTTGAACACTCAGTAATACAGCATAAATTTCTTAACATGTAATAAACAAAAACTGTTATATGACCTGTATTTATATAATTTCAGTAAACTGTTGAATAATGTACACATAATATTTAGACATTTAAACTATTCAAACTAGTTATTCTGAGTATGGGTTTGCATTTTTATAATTCATGAATAATCAAATGACATTACAGGTTGTCCCAAAGTCACCAATTTTTTTGCCATACGTAGGGAAAATGAGACATTTTCACTACCTGTACCTTTGTTTATAAAATATACATTACAAAAAAAAAAGAAAGAAAAAAAATATTCTCTATGTGTTGGCCACCTATTTGTAAAAAATTTTAATGATTGTGTCATAATGGTGCTTATAAATAGAGTTTAATGTTTTCCTTGTATATCTTAGTTCTGCATTTACTAAGGCTTTGGAGAAATTACTGATGACTTTGAAGTACATTATAAATAGAATTACTCACTATAAGCATGGTCGCTAGATAGAGCCAAAATAATATTTTTTATTGTCCATTTACTGAAATACTTGCATATTTTGCATAATGTTTATTGTTGTTAAAATTATTGTGGTTCTAAAGGGAATATATCTGACCTAATTGCATTTCTGTCATTTCAAATAAGGTCAATTTAGTAGCTATATTTATTTTCCCTGAAGTGTTATTATATAAAGTATTGGTAGTATTTCAAAGTATTTTTGCTTTCATTTATTACACATTTGGAATCCTCTGAGTCGCCTAATACGTACAGTAGCAGTTAGTTTAACTAAAGTGATCATAGTGTACATTTCCTAAGTTGGATGGCTATGTTTTTTCCTCTCAGCCTTCCACCCATCTCTCCAAAATTCAGATGCCCAACCATTACCATTTTGCATGTTTATGAAGCTTAATCCCAGACCCGAATTTCATTAACTGTAGTCTTCTGTGAGTGTCCACAGTAATGAGTTCATTGGGCTGAAGTTTTGCAAAGATATTGGGGGGGACAGGGAGGGATACACATCATCTACATTTGAAAAGACCGCGTTTACAAACCAGTACTCCTTAATGCAATTTTTCCCCTTGACTAACTGGAAGTTTATTTTCATGCATTCTAAGTAGAAGTGGAATGGGAAACTAAGATTTTTTTTTTCATTTAGGTTTAATACAGACTCACCCAGAAAACACAACCCTGATTTTGCGTGGGAAAGACTATCTCTGCAGGACCTAAAACGTGAGTCGATTTGTGTTATGGAATTCTACCGCGCTATATAATTGACCTGCTAGTATGACATTGCATGTGTTAAGATAAATTATGAGATCGTCTCCGTGAAGCGTGATTATGAACTGTAGAGAAAGAGAAAGTGGAATTTATATGTCTGCTTATTGTTTGGTTTAAGAATTCTGGTAACAAATAGATGCCTACTTTGAAGACGGTGACACATTTATGTTCGCACTGATATTTAATTTAAAGCACATTGTTTTGTGTGGTTTTGATATTCCAATTTACAGGCTGGCCATAAAGGGGCAATTTAAAATAGCGTGCACTTTTAAATTGCACACAAACTTTATGGCCACTGTCTTTATGGTTGAGGAGGCCTGTAAATGAGATTCCTGGCAAATAAGCATTTTCTTTGTTATTGTTTACCATTTAAAAATTCTTCCCTGTTGCCAGTATCTTTACATACTTCGAACATATATTTAGCGTAGCCGTTTTTCTTTTGTTTTTGTTTTTTTTTTTTTCTTTTTCCAAATGGAACACGTTATTATTAGTTGAAGATGAAAGCTCAAGGCACCTGTCTTTGCTCCGTCGTAGATCTGTCTTTCAGCTACTTAGTAAGGGTCGGCCTCTCTTCTCCCCGCTTGGCCTCTGATAAGTTGTCTTTGATAACCCGCTGTTTTGTGCTTGAACCTTGCCATGGCTGCAACTCTGGGATATCAGAACTGTCAAAAAGAAAAGTCAAAGCGAGAGAGGCAAAGCCTGGGAAAGTTAGAGGAAACCCGAGGCCTGATAATTGAAGGATGCATCTTCGACTGGCAGATCATTTTCACTTTATCCCATTCACTGTCACAATACCTGAAATAATAAGGGCATTTACCCCCCAATCATGGACAATGGGGGCTGTTTGTTTTGTGAGAATCTGCCAAGGCGACCTGCCATGTGGCTTTATCTTAGCAAGTAAAGGAGAAATGAGCTTGCCTGGCTGCAGATAAGGGACAGAGCAGGCATCCTATTCAGATGTACCTGTCACTAATTTATTTGGCGGGTTTGTGATTCATACATACTGTTTGGTGTGCAATGGAGCATTAAATTGGTTTCCTCTGGGAGCAGGTCACATTCAGGGGTCGGCAGACCCGTGTTGTTGGATGATGCATGCTTGATTCATAAAACCTTGTGCTACTGAAAGTTTTATCTATCAGAAGCCTGGTAACGTGAACATATGTTAGATAATCCCATGGAACATGTGAACAATAAAGGGATTTACAAAAAAACTAGACTGTCGCTTAATATGCAAGTGTTTGTAACAAAAAATAAAACAACCCTTTTCCTATCAGCACAGCATCTTATTCTGATAATTAAGTAGTTACAGGTATGTTTCCATTTAATTGCCTAGATCTTGATGAATGCATTTTCATGACCCCTTTATTCATTCTAACAAAGGAATGTGTACCTAACATCATTAATTTATACTGACAAATGCAGAGCTTTGAAACAAGCTGCCCTGCAAACAAAGGTTTATAAAACAAATGATTTCTCCAATTTAGAATACGGTTTTCTATGGTGGAAATTTCACTTTATTACTCCGTATATTTTTTTAAGGAAAACAGCATACCTTGTAAAATGTGATAGAGACTGGTTTAAACTTGAAAGAACATAAAAGAAAAAGGTTATTTTTGTCTATCTAGATGGTGCTGAGAGGCATTGGATTTTTATTTTTTGGTTGTGTGATACTTCAGCAAGTAAAAAAAAAAAAAAAAAAAAAACTTTCTTCCTTTTATGATTTCCAAGCTGGGGTGTGTAAAACTAAAACCGAATATCTTTCCTTGGGTTTTAAGTGTGCTTCATTTTGTGCAAATTAAGCCAATAAATGGCAAAGTGGTAGTTAAGTGAAAGCAATCAGCGAGATCTGTCTAAAGGATTTTTAGTGTGCCACGACAGCAGTCTTTACTGTGGTTAAATGAGTGACATAAACTGATATGTTTTCTCTATTTTTTAAATTTAAAATTGTTCACTATATAGTATATTGCAGTGCAGAAACAAATGTGATCATTTCATGAAGTGGCAAAAGAAAAACACATATAAAATGATGACTTTACCCTGCATTTACAAGGTATAATTCTTTTAATACTGTCCTAGTTGTGAAAATGTGGAATATCCAACATAAACCAGAATTTTCTTATTGATGAATTGTAGCACAATTAGGGCATTACTGTGGGGAACCTATTAGATCTTTCATGCATAATTCACCATATTTAAATGAGATATTTTTGTACATCTCCCAATCCTTAAATTAGACTGTGACCTTAAAACCTTGTAAGGTCTCTTCATAAATAGCAGCATGAATCAATATTTTTAATATTATTTTAGTACTTCAAAATGGTCTGCTAAGCATTTCTCTGAAAGAAAAAAAAACACAAAGAAAGAAAACTACTAATTCATGAAATTAGGGGGGAAAGTATCATTATACCATCTATAAATTATGCATAATTAGGTATATTTCTGACTAGTTCTTCTCATACTAAAATTTTGTTTTCTACACAGAATGAAAAATGCCTGAATTTTGATTTTTTCATATCTTTATAAATACCTATTGTATACCTTACTAGGTTTCATGGGGGGGGGGTTGTATTTTTCATTTTCTTTCTTTTTTGGTGGGAAAACTATTTAAAAGCACAAACTAAATTCATATTATTTTTAGAGCAATCCACCCAAAGAACCGTTTTGTTAGCAACATCTAAAAAAATTAACATTTTGCAGCTTAGAGTATAGTGATGTTTTTAAAGTTTCTTTCTTTCGTGAATTTTCTTATGTTATACAAAGATGCACACACACGGATTATCCATAAAGTTCATGTACAATATCGAATTGCACACTATTTTCAATTGCACATGAACTTTATGGCTATCCCGTACGTGCACACACACATACATCTATATGTGTATGTGTAGATACGTATATGACCAGCTCCCCATTTCTCAGGCTCTACCTAAATATCCTAAAGACATCTTTGGAAAGGTCTTCTTTATTCCAATCTAGCCATGTACACTTAAAATCTTTTTTGCCCTCATAGCACTTGCCATAATTATAAAGCATTTAAACATATATAATTATGTATTGTTGAGTTTTGTATCTCTTTCACAACACTTAAGTATCATATCCCGTGCCTAGCACATTCCATTGAATATAGGTTCAGTAACTGAATGACTGAATGAACATCAAATAATTTGGAAAATAAGAATATCAGAAATATAGTGTATATGTTAAACACAGAGAACCAAACGTTATATAATCAATGGTTCATTTATAAAATATTTACTGAACTACTTTGCACTTAAATAGAAAATTTAGCAAGCTTCACACCTTACTAGTTTCTTACCTGTACAACTCATGCTATGAAAACTTATTAGACATTAAGAGCCATAGGCAGAGGACAAAAAGTGCTATAATGTCCTCAGTCATCAAAGATTCTTGGCTGATATTCCTGTAACATAGAGCGATAGACAGGAGAAAAGTATAAGACCGATTGATAAAAACATTGCAAATTGATTGAACTAAAGTTTTGTAAGACATGGGAGACTTCAGAAATGAAGACCCAAAGAAATGGGGAAAACTGTTTTATGCTTGGCTTTGATGAAGAGTAGACTCTCTCAAAAAATGTAAATGGATAAAATAGGTATGATCAGATATCAATAAAATGAGGGCTAACTTAGCAAGATTTTTGGCCTCTGTGAGGTACCCTCTTTCTCTACCAGATAATGGGTATAGTATGTATCACATGAGGATCTTCAAAGAAGAGAGGACAGAAGGTGAGAGAGACCATTCCATATATATATTTCAGTTTCCATCAGCTTAAAATACTTAAAATGGTAAAATCCCTTACTTGGGGGTCATACAGTGTGCATCCCATCACATGGAATGCATAACTAGTGTTATCTACTAGCCATCAATAAATTTTCTGTGACTACCTCTTTAAATAGTAAATAAAAACACAAATATCCATGATTATTAGAAAATACATGTGCACAGAAGCAAGTAAAACTTAGTGTAGATCCACCACGGTAGAGGGGGGAGGAAGGAATATGAAAAAACCTACCTAATGGGTATAATGAACACTATCTGGCTGGTGGGATCACTTACAGCCCTGGCTTAAGCATTACAAAACACTTGTACCTCTATAAAATTTTGAAATAAAAAAATACAATGAAAAAATAATAGGGGTAGAATATAATTTCTTGAGAATATAGAGAATAAATATATTTACTATATTTTAGAATATTTTCTATAATATACTAAAGTATATTATAAGTAAATATAATATTTTCTATATTTTAGAATTACTAAAATACAATGAAAAAAGAATAGGGGTAGAATATAATCTCAGGAGATCATTGCATCATGATAATTTACTTTCTTTTTTAATAAAGTATATTCTTTATCCAAAAAAGTATTAATTCATGTATCATATAAGGTCAGTCAAATTCAAATTTTATTGAATTACTATAAGGAATTCTCCAAGGTCTCAGAGATCATAGATCAAATTTAAAACTTAATTTACAAAAAAAAATTATTATTATTATACAAAGACTTATTTATGAAAAATATTAAAAAAAAAATCCTAATGCCTATAGTTTCATTTTTTTTTCTGTTATCCAAAAGGTAGGGTTGCCTTACTTGAAGATACATTTACATATTCAGTAAATTTCATATTGTACGAGTCCATACAGAAAAAAATGTGAACTAAAATAAAATCTCAAGGCTCCTCCCACACAGCTGACTGACAGGATCCCACTCTTGGCCAAGCAGAGTTTCTAGCCATGAAAAAGAAGATAAAAAATGCCTCATCATGTCCCCATGCTTTCTTAGAGATGTCCTTTGTGACTCATTACAAGCCTAAGCCTATGCCAGACATGCCTGGAGGTCCTCAATATATATAATAAACCACCCTCGTCTGGGTCTGAGCATATGTCTGCTAGTTGGTCTCTATCAACATGTCCTTATCTGAGCCTTCTTTT